CTTCACAGTAGGTATTTCTCAGATGTTTGCTTCTTTTTTAGCATTAATCAGTTTCCTTAAGAAGATACAGGGGCACAATGAAAATAAAAAATAGAAAGCAGAAAGCCTTAGTTTATAAAAAATCTGCTTCAAAACAGCGGATGCTGTTTTGCAAATGTCAACATTAAAAAAATATTTGCCAGAATGTCAGAATAGTCTGTTTTAGATGCTTTTGATTTGACATTCTGATATATAGCTGTTCAGCCCCTCAAGCAAATTGTTTTTTAAATATCCCAACTCAGATCATATATATCTCATTCTGAAGTATTCATTCATGTTTCAAATGTCAGTCTAACAACATTTATAGCTTTTAGCAGAATTTTAAAGAGGCTGGTATCACAGGAAAAAAATGTATTAATTTGTAGGCAAAAAGTTACATAGTGCAATATAATTGAAAAGAAATACTGGAAAAGATGAAAAAATGCATTTTAGAACAGAGCATCCAGATGCAATATAAAAAAACATACATTAATATAGTAATTACAGTGTAATAAATGTGGAATATTATGTGGGTTGTCTTTAAAATCTTTTGAAGATATTTTAAGCCATTTCTGTCTTCAGTTCAAAGAGTTGGCAGCCAGTTTATCAATCATCTAGGAAAGATTAATACTTTTGGAAAAGCATATATGATTTGCCACTTTTTAAACAAGAAATAGCTTGTTTTCCCTATACAAATTTTCCCCAAACTAAAAGAGAATGCAAATAACTAATACATGCATGCCTTAGGTGAATGTCCCTTGCCTACAACCAAATGAAGAGATGAAAAGTGTTATGGAACCTGGGGGGATGGCTGGTGACATGAGGGTGTGTGCTTTACACTTTTTAAAACTTGTATTTAATTTTAACTTAGTTTTAACTTTCTTGTATTTAAGCTTTTGTACCACTCTTTAACTTTTTATTGTAACCCGCACAGAGTCTCTTAGTTGCGATAGGTAGTGTAGAAATGTGATAAATAAAGAAATGAAAGAAAACTCTACAGCTAAGGCTGTATCATGCTGTTTATTTATATTATAGAAAAACTGGGAGAATAAAATGAGTGCATTGTATACAACAATTGAATTTGTTACTGGAAGAATAAGATATAACTTAACTGTATGATAAAATCAAAGAGGCATTGGTTTAATGTTTCAGAGAAGGCAAGATAACATTCGATTTGTGTTTTTCCATTGCTTCCTATCCACTTTGAATTATGGTATCTCCTTGGCTTTATGTATAGAATATTGAAGAAATCCGCATTGTTCGGTGAAATATTCTGGATTAATGCATAATACAGTTATGATATTAATGAATTAAAGTAATTCATTTTTTACAAAAAAGAAAAAATACTTCTTTTGCAGTAGCAAAAGAAAACGCATCAAGTTAATTGTGCCCAGCTAGACAGCTACACTTAGCCATATTTGACTAATTTCGAAACACTCAGAAGAATCAGGTATGTTTAATACTTGGGGTGAAAAATCACCAGACAATATTAGTTATCTAAATTGGACTGGATATTTTTTAAAAAATCCAGAGAAAATGAAATGCATTTATATATACTTGCAGATAAACCAACTTCATGAACATACAGCTTCATCTGCTTTACACTTTACATTATTTTTTCCTCTTAAAATTATTTCTCCTTTCCTTTGCTTTTCATACATTGTGTAAAACTTAATAACTGCCTTAATTTTTTTTCCTAGGTCCTCTGCTAATAGATTAATAATCACTTCTGCTATATTTTCCTCTTTATCTTCGGGTATGTTCTGGCATCTCAAATAGTGTACCGCCTTCTCCATTTCTAAAACAGTGACCGCTCCTTCTAAGTTTTGATTTGCTTATTCTAATCTTTCATTCTCTGTCATTAATGCTTCAATTTTTTCTCCAGTATCTTCTGATTGATTTTCCATCTTTTGAATTCTTTGTTCATTTTTAAGGATCATTTGTAGGTGAAACCTACAAACTGCAAGCATTTGCAGATGATTTGGTATTCATTCTAGAGGAGCCTTTAGAGATGATTCCTAAACTGTTGGAAAAGATAGAACAATTTGGAGAGAGAGCAGGATTAAAGATAAATAGAGAAAAAACTAAAGTGATAGTTAGAATTTTTACAGATAAACAAAAAAAGCAATTATCAAAAAAAATAGAATTGCAAATAGTCAAAAAGGTCAAATATTTGGGAATATATTTGTCAGCAAGATGTTCAACAATAAAAGAAGATAATTACATTAAATTGTTAAACCAAATAAAGCTTGATTTGGAAAAATGGAAGAATCTTCAACTGTCGACAATAGGAAGAATTGCTATGATGAAAATGAATATATTACCAAAAATATTATTTTTATTTCAAACGATACTTATAAAACTGGAGAAAAAAATTCTTTGAAGATTTAAACTCTCTAATTCAAAAATTTATCTGGCAAGGAAAGAAAGCTAGAATTAAATTGAAAATGTTACAAGAAGCCAAGGGAAATGGAAGCTATAGCTTGCCAGATTGGGTTTTATATTATCAAGTATCAGAGTTAACATGGATAAAAGAATGGATAACCCTTAAAAATAAAAGATTGCTGTATCTGGAGGGACATGACCTGCAACTTGGTTGGCATGCTTTTCTATGGTACGGAAAAATAAAATACATAAATACTTTCAAAACCACTACATTAGAAATGCATTATTATTAACTTGGGAAAAAATAAAATGTAAAATGTATTTGAAAATTCCAGGATGGTTTTCAACAGTGGAAGCATTCGTACATCCAAATCTAGTCAGTCTCGATAAAATATGGACATGCAAAGATATTCTAAATTCGGAAGGGAACTTAAAATCCAGGCAAGAGATGGAAAATCAGGGCATTGATTTAACATGGTGGTTACATTTACAAATGCAAGTCAGATATGATAAAGATATTAAACAGAATGGATTTTACAAAAAACAGACTATATTTGATCAGACATTATTAATTTCTGATGAAAAGTTAATTAAAAAATGTACAATTTCTTATTAAATTTCAAAATAGAAGATGAACAAATAAAAGAGACAGTGATAATATGGGCAAAGAATTTTGGATATAATATAGACTTAGAAAAGTGGCAAAGTTTGTGGGAAAGAAACTATAAAGTGACAATGTCAGCTTCATACAAAGAAAACTTATATAAAATATTTTATAGATGGCATTTGCCACCAACAAGATTAGCAAAAATGTTTTTAAAAGATGTCAGAGAAATGTTGGAAATGTAAACACAAACCAGGTACTTATTATCATATGTGGTAGACATGTGTTAAAGGAAGGAGATATTGGACAATAATCCACACTTGGTTAGAAAAAATGTTAGAGAAACACATAGACTATAAACCTGATTTTTTTTTACTAGGTATAATGCCAGAAAAACTTGATAAGCAAAGTACATATTTGATTCTACATGTGATAACAGCAGCAAGAATTATATTTGCACAATATTGGAAGAAGGAAGAAATACCACCAGAAGAAGAAATAATCAAAAAAAATTAGACTCTGCGGAAATGGACAGACTTACTTTAAGGTTGAAAGAAAAAGAAGAAACAGAATATTTTCAAACTTGGGACCTATTTTATCAATGGTTAGAGAAAAGATTTAGGGATTAGGAATTTAATTTGTATTAGTGAATAAGATACCTAGAAAACACGTTTTTGTTGAATAATTATTATTGAACTCTGTTAATAATAATAATAATAACAACAACAACAACAACAACAACAACACTTTAATAAAAAATAACTGCCTTAATGTTAGTATATCAGAACTGGTGTTTTCTTTGGGAATGCAAGCAAGCAGGAAGGCATCTGGGATACAAAGAACAATGATTATTTTTTATTTTATTTTTTTAATTATTATTGTTGTAATTATTATTGTTGTTATTGTTGATGATGATTTAATCTTCAATTTGATTCACGGTCTGGGACTGGTAAAAACTTACCATTTTAAGTCCTAACCAAAGACCTAAGAGCTATTAAGGTAGCATCTGAGTATATAGCCAGTTCCGAGTAGGGTGGTTTTTTGCAACGTCAGGATATTCAGGTCTAATAAGTTCAAAATTCCCATGTATCTGGACAGCCCTTTGGGTATTGCTCCAAGCGCTCCTATTACTATTGGTACAACCATTGATTTTTTCCTCCATAGTCACTCAACTTCAGTTTGCAAATCACAATATTCTTATTTTTTCCAGCTGTTTCTAGAAAAAAATATTATTTATTTATTTTATCTATATTTTATTTATTATTATATTATCTGTTTCTAATAATAATAATATCATCATTAATATTATTATTATTTACTATGAGTCATGCTTAAATGTCCGAATTGTAGAAAAAGACAAAGAGTATAAATAACTTAAGCATTTTTAATTCAGCGCACCCACAGATACTTTAATACAGCGGTTCTCAACCTGTGGGTCAGGACCCCATTTGGGGTCAAACGACCATTTCATGGGGGTCGCCAAACAACGCAGTCCATCATTTTTTCCCCCTTTTCCTTAGCTGTGCTACTCCCTTTTATTCTATTGGCTTTTGAAAGCCAATAGAATAGACTCTCTTGAATAGAGTCTAATTCTATTGGCTTTCAAAAGCCAATAGGAATTGTCCAGGCTGTCTCTGCCCTGCTGAGCCCGCCAAAAGTCCCATTCTGCAAACAGTGCTGCACCAGTTGAGTAGTCCTCGACTTATGACCGGTTGAGTAGTCCTCAACTTACGACCGGTTGGGGGTCGCGGCATTAAAAAGGTTGAGAACCACTGCTTTAATATATCCATAGAATCACATAGTGACAATTGTTCTTGCATGCCAGATGAAAGCTTATCAAAAGAATTGTAGAAGGAAAACGCATTAGCTTTTCTGGGGCACAGAAATGTGTTTCATAGATAAGCAAATGATGTTAAGGGAAGACGATGCTTATTTTTTTTAAATGATTCATTTAATTTGTACAGAACATTTTTTTTTCTTTTATTATTTACAGGAACAAGCATATTTACTGTTTATGAAGCTGCATCTCAGGAAGGTTGGGTCTTTCTGATGTATCGAGCAATTGACAGTTTTCCCCGATGGCGCTCTTATTTCTATTTCATCACCTTAATTTTCTTCCTTGCCTGGCTTGTTAAGGTACATAAATAAGAACCTTATAAAAATGGTAACAAGGGGAAACAGAAGAGAGATTCATATTAGAAATCAAGCTGAATAGTGACATAAAGGATGCTCTGGCATGAATACAGGTGTGTGTGTGTGTATTGGCCGAACTACTATCCTGAAAGTTAATGGAGAGAGGGCATTGATTATATACATTATTTTGAGACAGTTATTATCCTGAAAGCTAGGATAATATCTTGCTTATAAGATAGACACTCTCAAAAGTATATTGGTTATATTAGCAATTGTACTCATTATACTAGGCCAGGCATGTCAAACTGCCGGCCTGCGGGCCGGATGCGTCACGCCAAAACCGCACTCATCCCATTGCCAGCAATGGGGAAAAAGTTGAGATACGTTGTGCAACATCACGTGACGTCGCGAGTTTAACATGCCTGTACTAGGCCATCACAGGAAGAATGTAAATGGTCCAGAAGAATAATGTGTTTAAATGTTTTCCGGGAGCTTTCCCAGGTTTTAAGTGGGAAATCAAATTGTTTACTTCAGTTGCCATCAATGCTAGAATACTCTTTGGCAAACTTTCTGTATCCAGCTCAAGGCTTTTAGAATTTCTACAATCTCCAGAATGTCAGTAGAATATACAGTATTTCACTGATCTGGTGGAATACAGATATGTATTTGGCATATGGCCATATTGTAGAAGGACTGCAATTGAGTTCTTTATCCTGGCTACCTGGGCAACACATGCTATAGCATCTTTTCTCCTGCATTGAAGTAGTTGTTCAAACTGCCTTTTTAATCTGAGAATGTTCCATGCAGTCATTTTTCTTGCATTCACTTTCTAAGCTTTGTAACTGTCATCTTTACCCATTTTGGCACATTCAAACTACCATTTGGAATGATGCCATTGTAAATGTGGGTTGCCGGTGTTTGCATAAGTTAAATACTGCTTTAATTCCTGAATTATCTTATTATAATTCTCTATGAAAGAGGGAGAGGGCTCTTCAAAGAGACCAGGAAAATGATAACGCTAGAATATTCTGTGACAAGATATTGTTATTTTATCTAAGCTGTAATGTCTTTTCATAAGGACAGTTTAGAATTGATAGGAGACTTTAATATGAAGGTGATAATCAAATGATTTTAAATATACAAAGACTAAGAAATAATCTTTATTTAATGGAGAATTTTATAGAGACAATTATATGAGCTATTACACTTATTTTGGCCACTAACCAATAGGTCAATTCTGCAAAGTAATCATTACATGATATCTGTCCATATACCTATTAACCATAAAAGCTAATCAAAAACACTATATAATTCTCAACATCCAAAAATCATGTGAAGAGAAATACATCTGCTTCATAATTAGGCACACAACACTGATTGCATGTGTATGGATGCCCCAAAATACACACGCTTGACAAAGCTCTCTGTCCAATTGTATCATTACCAGGGACCCCTGCCTACAACATTGCAAAAGAATTAACAAAAAAGCTTGGGCACCTCACAAGTGGAAGCAAACACTCCATCAACACCCCACTACAGTGCCTTCAAACATTCAGAGACATGACCATAGATGAGGATGAAATCATAGTCTCATTTGATGTCACAGCTCTTTTCACTTTCATACAGTAGATCTGGAATTAGCCAAAGAATGTATGACCACATTGCTCCACAGCACATCTGATTTAACCAAATACACGAAGCTTGGAACATCCAGGATTATGGATCTCATAAACCTATGCCTAACCACATACTTCCAATTTGGTGGACAAACTTACCAACAAACTAAAGGTACACCTATGAGATCACCACTTTCAGGACTTATAGGACCTTTCAGGTCATTATGCAAGATCTGGAAGCCATAGCACTTCCACAAATAATAACCCAAAATATAGATCAGATATGTAGATAACATCATAATAAAAAAGGACTAATTAGAGAACACCCACAAAACCATCAGCAACATTTTCAAAGGAATCCAATTTACTAGAGAGAGAGAAAAAAAACAACTAACTACCCTTCCTGGACGTCCTGATCAGCAGAAATCATTATGTGGCAAACTGGAAAAGCAAGTGTACCCAAAAAATCAACCACATCAAGAAGTGTTTCACTACCAAAGTAATAATCCTTGGCAATTCTATGGGCCAGGCCTCTCCACATCTTCCGATCTTGCACTATTTCTTTGAGTTTTTCTATGCTCAGACTGGTGTCAGCTGTGATGGTGTCCAGCCACCACGTTCCTGGTTTCCTTTTACTGCTAATTCTTCCAAACATAATTGCTTTCTTCAGTGAATTCCCTGCATGACATGGCCAAAGTAAATGAGACACAATTTCATGTGCCTGGTGTTATGCGCTCCAGTACTTTCTTGTTACTAACCTTTGCTGTCCAAGGAATACACAGAAGCTGCCTCCAGCACCACAGCTAAATAAGTTAACCCAATCAAGGAACTGCCAAACAAGCTACCGGTAACAATAAAGAGCCCAACCAAAGAGCTTTCAAGATTACTCCCACCAACACTGATAGAGCAAGCCACTAGAATATAAATTGAGAACAAACCCTTACTAGCCCTGATGATATTACCTAGTTTCGCTAATGAAAGGTCTGAAGAAAAAAACCAAGCTCAGAGAGCACCATTTTTTATATGTTCCCAGCTCTTAATTATCATTGAAGATGCTGCTATCATTGATGCACTGCTCTCAGTCAAGGTGGACTGTTTGAAGTGTCAGTTGATGATGCTTAAAAATCAAATTAATCCATTTTTTTCTATTCTTAGACTTGAACTGCCATTGAACTATTCAGTTCTCGAACCAACCCTACCCAGGCTCTGTATTCTTACATATCAAAATATCTTCATTATTTATTTTCCTTCTTTGCTAGTATGAACTTTTTAATTGATACTGTTGTACTTGCGATTAACATTTCTTTTAAGTCTTTGGAGAATCTTTTTCAACTTGGGAAAGAATTTAAAACAATGGAGTTAGGGGGTGTTTTTACACCATCTACTTCTTCTGTGACATTTTCTGCTTCTATTTCCTTCAGCTCTTCCCTCTCCTCTCTTCCCAATCATCCTTGGGAGGTTTACTGTATTAGGATTTGACCTTGTGAATGATATAGGCAGCATTTTATCTCAGACTAGCATATTCTCTCACATAAACCATAATTTTCTTCCCAAGCTTTAATAGATTCTTCATCAAAAACCCAGAGAGAGACCATTTGAAATCTCCTAAAAAATTCTTTTATTCTGATAATCATCAATAGCAAAATGGAACGTTTAAAATCCGGTACAACTCTTTTATATTCACGGTAGCTGTAAAGCCAGGAGATAACTTTCAAGCCGCTATCGGAAAACTGGCAGTGTAAGTTGGATAAGAGGCCACATTATTACTCATCCTTTGTACCACCTTACCTATGCATGTCATTTTCAACTATCAACTAGGTTGTAGTGTGCACTATATCCAGGTAATTGTAAACCCATCTGAGAAAATGAAATGCCTGCTCTGAAGCAGCAAATCACTTAGGGGCAGATTTTTCTCCATTTTTTATTATAGGCTGCTCTGCCTTTTCATTCTTCTTAACAATTACATTTCCTCAGCCCAATTTATTATTATAACAATAAAGTTTTTAGTTCTTTTCATTTGACTTCTCTTTTTAAGCTTCCCAGCCTTTAGCTACTCTACAAAAATGAATTCCTGAGAGCATATCAACTATTTTTGAAGGGAGAATATTAATTCATCCATGTTACTATAATTTGTTTGTTTATTTAGTCACCCATTTGATGGAAAGTGACTCCGGGTGGTGTACAGCACTCCAATAAAACAAATCAAAATAAATCAAATAACGCTCTTAGCAGTAATTAATTGGTCAGAAATTTCAGTCAACAAAAGTTTTAACCAAGTCAAGCCACAGATATTAAAAGCTAGAAAAGGGCTATTATTTATCAGCACTCATCTGGCTTCCAGTTGTTCTCCAATTTCCAAGCAAGAAAGCTCTTCACTTTCCCAATTGAGGCCAACATATTCATTAGAACATAAGAAAGTCTGCACTTCACTTATTTGTACCTCATCCAGCACCCTTTCCTTCCTTCCTTCTTTCCTTCCTTCCTTCCTTCCTTCCTTCCTTCCTTCCTTCCTCCCTCCCTCCCTCCCTCCCTCCCTGCCTTACTTTTAGTTTTTCTAGAACTTCTATTATTATTCTACCATTCTGACCTATTTCAGTGCCTCTAGGGTTTGATTTTGCTTAATATTATTTTCTTTTCTTGTGTTGATGCTATTCATATTCTTCATCTTCATTCCAGTGGAAAACAGTGTATTGTTGTAGTGAAAATAAATAGCAGTAGCAATTAGCAATAGCACTTTGACTTATATACCGCTTCACAATGGTTTACAGCAATGGTCCCCAACCTATGGACCGCAGCCCACCATTGGGTTTGGCCTCTTGGCCGCTGGGCAGTGCACATGTATGTGTATGTGCTCAGCCCCCCCCCTTGTGCCACTGTTGCCGTAAGTGTGCTGGCAGCAGCAGTGCCGCTAGTATTGCGTGGATGGTGGCAGCACCGCAAGCGGCAGGTGGGCTGTGGCATGATCCTCGCACAGGGCAGTGGCGCAATACTTGCATCGGGGGCAGCATCGCTGCAGGATGCAGTGTGAGCCTCGTGCAGGGGCAGCGGTGCAAGCCTCGTGCCCGGGGCAGCATCACTGCAGACTGCGGCACGAGTCTCACACCAGGGCGGTATCGCTGCAGGCTGCTGCGTGAGCCTCGCACTGTTGGTAGCATCACCACAAGCCTGGAGGCGGTGGCTCCACAAGCCTCTCAGAGGCACCACCATCACTGAGAGCCTCCCACGCATGCTCGCAGCCCCATTTGTGTGGTGCACATGCTTGCAGACTGTTTGTACATGCATGTGCACGTGTGGCCACCTTCACGTTTGACATGTGCACGTAAGGCACCTGCCCCTCTCTCTTCCACCAGGCCACCAAAACAAAAAGGTTGGAGACCCCTGCTTTACAGCCCTCTGTAAGCAGTTTTTACAGAGTCAACATATTGCCCCCACCAATCTGGATCCTCATTTTACTGACCTCGGTAGGATGGAAGGCTGAGTCAACCTTGAGCCAGTGAGACTCGAACTGCTGAACTGCTGGCAGTCAGCAATCAGCAGACGTAGCCTGCAATACTGCATTCTAACCACTGCACCATCACGACTCTAAATGAAATATGCTGTCTTACTACCAAAAAGGAAGGGGGCAACAGAGAAAGCAGAATAGCAAGTAGCATAATAAATATTATTTATAATTTAAAAACAAACGAGATTCTCCTAGGCACCTAGAGTAATGAGCTTGTTGAGTGCTGTTATGGGCTGAATCCAATTAAGCAGGCTTTGAAAATAGTCTTTGTCTGCCTCCTTACATATATGTACTTTCTTTTATAGAATGTATTTATTGCTGTCATCATTGAAACATTTGCTGAAATCCGTGTGCAGTTTCAACAGATGTGGGGTTCCAGAAGCAGTACAACTTCAACAGCAACTACTCAGGTAAACATGGCTAAATGTTTAAATGCATAAATAGATCCATGTGCTAAACATTAGCTTTTATTTGTCTAAAGCTACTAATAATACATATGTAATTTGTCAGTTGTAATTGTTTCACAGTCCAGAAATGGCTTGCCTTTCTTATTTATAATAATATGGGGTTTAATTTCTGTGGGTTTGGTTGATGATTGGATGGTTCTTGGGAAGTGTCTTTTGATCAGTGGTCTGACCTAATGTTAATTCTGTCCTGATTATCTGTGTGTAGTGAATGGTTTGGATCAGTGGTGGGATTCAGCCAGTTTGCACCAGTTCGGCAGAACTGGTAGCTAATTTTTTGTTGCCCAAGCCCAGAATGGACTTCTGGAAGCGGCATCCACACAGAGAACCTGTTGTTCACATATTTGAATCCCACCACTGGTTTGGATCGTATATCTTGGTAATAAATCATGTCTTGTTCTCATATTGGCACTTTCAGGAATTATCTGGCTCCAATAAAGGAGAATATTTGTAGCTCAGGGTTGAAATGAGGGGTCCTTGGTGTTCTCTGAGCTTGGTTGTTTTCTTGCAGACATTTCATTACCAAACTAGGTAACATCATCAGTATTAGTAAGGAATGGGCTTTGAAATCTCATTCAATCCAAAATCTCGGGCTTGTCTGCAATTTATTTGGGCAATTTTTTTTCTATTTTCCCACTCAAATATGTGGTTCATTTTCAGAGGGTAAATAGCTAAAGGGTATTTCTGGTGTTTATTGTTTGTTGCAGTTCTGTGTACCTTCATCTTTGCTGTAATTGATGTCCTGTTTGTCCAGTATCGTGTTGGCTGCAATCTTGCAGTTGACTCGGTATATCATATTCTTTCTTTCTTAGTGAGGTATATAATCTTTTGGTTTTCACAGGATTTGGGGGGAAGGGTTGTTTTGTTTTGCTTTTTTGGTGGTGTTTTTGTGGGTTTATGGGTAGTTTATAGTCATTTTCATATCATATCTTCCCTTCTAATTGACTTTCACATATTGTATAGCCTATATTTTATCATGTAGACTTTATTTCAAACATTATGTACTGGACAACCATTTGTCTGAAATGGTATTGAAGACCCTTAGTATAGAATTTCCTGCCTGAGCAGGGGGTTGGACTAGAAGACCTCCAAGGTCCCTCCCAACTCTATTTTTATTATTATGGATCGTCGCACAGTCAGCCAGATGTTCAGACTGGATTTGGCATTTTGTCTACCTATCGAGTCCTTACCCAGGACCTGGGATAGGCAGATGTGGATATTTGATGGTATTACAGGTATCGTCGCAGGATGGAAGCAGTTCCTAGTAAGGCTGCCTTTTGCAACTGACTAATAGCAAATTTGTCAATGCCAATGGTATTCAAGTGGTGCTCCAGTTGTTTTGGGATTGCACCCAAAGAGCCTATTACTATTGGTACTACCCTTGCTTGCTTTTGCCACAGTCTTTCTATTTCTATTTGTAGGTCTTTGTATTTTGTTATCTTCTCCAGGTCTTTCTCGTCTATTCTGCTGTCTCCAGGCACTGCCACGTCCACTATCCAGACTTTTTTGTCTTTCTTATCGACAATTGTTAAGTCTTGGGTGTTATGTTGCAAGTGCTTGTCTGTTTGAATTCTGAAGTCCCAGAGCAGTTTAATTTTATCATTTTCTATGACTTTCTCTATTTTATGATCCCACCAGTTTTTGCCTACAGGCAAATGATATTTTTTGCAGATCTTCCAATGCACCATTGTTGCTACTTTGTCATGCTGCTGCTTGTAGTCAGTCTTCTTGCAACAGCTTACCAGGTGGTCCACTGTTTCTTCAGCTTCTTTGCATAGGCGGCATTTACTGTCTGTTGCTGTCTTCTCAATTTTGACTTTATATGCATTTGTCCTTAAGGCTTGGCCTTGTGCAGCCAGAATTAGTCCTTCGGTCTCTTTCTTCAATTTCCCTGCTCTTAGCCATTGCCAGGTCTTGTTATTATCTGCTTTCCTAGCTATTTTTTAATGTATTGGCCATGTAGTGCTTTGTCTTCCCATGCCTCTATTCTGTTCTTCATTTGGTCTTTCTTGTAGGCCGGTTTGGTCTCTCAAGTAGTCAGTAAGCCTTCCTGATATACTAATTTCAGTGCATCTTCATCATTGTTCTTCAGATATTCTTCCAAAGCCATTTTTCTTCTTCAACCATCTGATGTACTTGTAGCATTCCACGCCCACCTATTTGCCTTGGTAGATAAAGTCTGTCAATGTCACTGCATGGATGAAGGGCGTGATTCATTGTCATTATTTTTCTGGTCTTCCTATCCATTGCTTTTAGTTATGCTTGAGTCCAGTCCACTATTCCAGCTGTGTACCTAATGACTGGGATTGCCCAGGTGTTGATTGCCTTTATGGTATTTCCTCCATTGAGTTTGGATTTTAAGATCTTCTTCACTCTCTTGATGTATTCACCTCTAATCTTTTTCTTGACTTCAGTGTGCTTGATGTTGTCAGCTTGAAGGATACCCAAGTATTTGTAGTAATCTTCCTCATCCAGACTCTTAATGTTATTTTCGTGGGGCATCTTGATTTCTTCTTCTTCTTCTTCATCATCATCATCATCATCATCATCATCATCATTATTATTATTATTATTATTATTCTACAAATTCTTTTAATTAAGTTGCAGTGTATAATTTATCTTGTCATGGGTAGTAATCATACAATAGCTAATATTCATAATTCAGTGGATAACCCTTAACATTTATATAGATTTATTTATTTATTTATTTATTTGAGTTATTTCTATTCCTCTCTCAGGCTAACAAGCCTTACAAGCAATATCAACATTTGAGTCACCCAGAGTTGTGTTTTTAGATGGGCAGCCATACAAATCTTTTAAATTAAATAAATAAGGATTTATAAGTAAAAAAAACCTAAATTATTTCAAAAGCAATGAACTTCTAGGATCCTTCCCATGGAGTAGAAAGAATAGTTATGAAAAAGGCCCGAGCCAACCTGCCTCCTCATTCTGGCACTTTTCCAACAGAATAGTTGGTTTTAAGGTCTATGAGGGGAAGCAAATTAGAGAAGGAAGGAGAGATTTTTTTTAGCAAGTTTAGCACAGTTCTGTCCCCAGAGAGGAGAATAAGCAAGGAAACATGGCTTATCTAAAGCCATTACATTATTTCTTAGTCACTCTATGTTTCATTGCAGTACATTACTGCAAAAAATGCATTTTTGGTATTCTGTAATATCTATGTTCTGTTGCCAAACATGACAATTTTATGTATATTGTATACAGTTTTCTGCATAGAAGAATTTCTCATGCAGAAAATTGAACTGGTTCCTGTTTGCAGATCCTATGTTCAGCATCAGCTATAAAATCTGTAATTCAAAATAAGTGACCATTCAAGGACAAAGGCAGTGGAATAATATAGTATGAAATCAATGCAGTTTGCCCTGCATTCTCTGTAATAACAAGAGATTTCTTAGAAGAAAAGAATGCAATGTAGAGAAAAAGATGGTCACAAAATAAACATCATCAGTTTTGTTTGTAGATCTGAGCATATAAATAGATTCTGACAAGTGTTTTCCCCCTCCAGATGTTTCATGAAGATGCTACAGGAGGATGGCAGCTGGTGGATGTTGATGTGAATAAGCCTCAAGGCAGAGCACCAGCATGTCTGCAGGTACATTGCTTTTTAAATAAAGCTATCAAAGTAGCAAACCAAGTGGGAATCTTGCTGTTGGAAATTGACAGTAAATTAAAATTCCCCATAGCCACGGTTTAAATTTAGAAATTGGTCTAAGTTTAATGTATATTCATCTGGATTTTTGCGCTTGGGGTTTGTTTATGTTTTGTTTTTGTTTTTTTTGCATACTATAAACAAATTATTTTCCTTTCTCTGAATCTGTCTCCAAGTTTCCATAGAGATCTCTGTCCAATTTTTGCTACATTAGCTATATAGATATAATTACGATTGGTATGTTAGAGGAAAATCAGTTTCTTAAAATATAATTGATTTAGGGTGTATGCCTTCTCCTGTTCTGAAAACAATATAAAGGATAACAAAGTTTGTACTGCTATTATACAACATATGAACAGAAGATGCCCATCTTGCCATTGTGGAATATATGAAATAAAAAATAGAAAGAAGAAAATAGAAAAAATTATAAATCATCTAAGTATGGAGACTAGAACTCGAGGTATGTATAATCATCTCGATTCTTGGGAATGCATTGTGAGTTTTTGTCTTCATCTGGAAGATGTCATGTGCAATTCTCTCACATTGCCTCAGCTCTGATGTACTTCTTACAATATGTTAATTGTGGAGACTTAGGTCTAGCTAAAAGCTAAGGTAAACATGAGTATACTGATCTAAATGAACAATGAGAAGAGTAACACCCAAAAGTTCAACATAAATTCAACTACAAGAATGTCAAATTCATGGATTAGCATGTGCTAGAGCTGGTCTCAAATTGAGTGCCTTCTTGTAATTCCTTATCTCGGTGGACCTTTGGGATCATAGATTGATTTATGATAGTAATAAAATATTTTGTTTTCATTTAGTAACATAGATGAAGCTGCTGCTGGATGCAGTAATAATCTTTGGACAGAGATATCTGTCAGCTTCATGAAAGTGCAATATGTATTTATTATTTTTAAACTGTTCCTTCTCCTTTTTTTATATCTAGCTTTTAAAAAAACATTTGGTTTTCTTCACAATTTATATATCTAGCCCATACTCTGTTAAACGCTAAAAATTAAACTACCTCCCTTCATATATTCTTTCTGTTGCGTCCTTCGCGAAATGGCAAGACACAAGAAGCAGTTGTAGTTCTCAGGAAACTTCTTTATTTCAGTTCAGCATACTAAGTACAAGACGCCGACAACGCCCAGAACTCCCGGCCTCTTTTATAGGCCATTCCCGGGTCAATCTGCAATTTTTGGCGCGCCAGCACTTGCGCATGCGCACAAGTACTGGCGACAACCTGTCTGGTCCCGGGCAGCTTGCACCTGCCCGGGACCGCTTGCAATGCCCCGAGCCTGCTTGCACAGGCTCAGGACATAACACCCCTTCCCCCCGGGTTAAGACTATTGATCATGTCATACTAACACAGAACCCATTGCGAGTGTAGTGCCATACTACCTTAAACCATACATTTCTTTTGCTTCCATCAGTCTCAGTGTTCTATTTCCTCTGTATACAGGAATGTTCTCTGTTAACTCTGTTTTGCCAATAGAGTTACAAAATCCTCTAAATACTTAGGAGATCTTCTGGCTCTCTGTGACCTCCTAACCTCTGGGTACCTGCCAAGTACCCCTTGACTGAGGGCTGATGCGTATCTGTCCCCCTTATTACACCCTGGTGGTTCCCCAGGACTGTGCTCCAATGCCTGGCCTGCTTGCTTGCCCACCGGGCTCGTCAGGCCAGGGCTTCTTTCCTTGTTTGACCTGGTTGTCCTGCCTAACTGCAGGCTCTCTGGCCCCTTTAAGTGACTGTCACTGTTGGGCGATTCTGTAGAACCTCCAAGGTCTGTCCAAGACCCGTTAGGAGATTGTCTGTCCCCTGGTTCCCATTCTGTCCCCGGGCTTGTGGGGTTTCCAGTGCTGTCCCAAAACTCAGTTGTCCCCTGAGTGAAGTCAGAGGTGTTGTAGTCGGGATTTGGTTCCTCGACCACCTCCCTGTATGTTTGCCCCCTTCTAGGAACAGGGGTAGTGTCAGGCCAACTAGAAGGAGTGTGTGCCAGCTCTCTTGCGGGGAATGGTTTATTGGGATGCTCCCGGGTATCCTCCCTGACTGGAGTACTGAGTGATGCGGGTGATAAGTGATTATGCCCCCAGGGTGACTCCCTGGCTGGAGTAGGCATTGATCCCTGATATCTAGTTGAGCTCCTTGAATTCCTGTTTGGAGCACTCACGGAATCTTGGGATAAGCTGTCTGTAGCTTCCTCATTAATGATGGGCAGCAGCCCATACCCTTCCCTTTGCCCAAAGGGGTCCCCCTCCCCCCCTGGAGAAGACCCAGGAGTCTCAGCGGGAAGGTCCCGTCTAGGGCGAAGCTGGTCGATGTGTCGACGCAGGACACGACCATTGTCCAGGGACACCTCGTAAGACAGAGGACCTGTGACCCTGGATATAGCAGCGGAGACCCATAAATGACCAGGCCCGTAATTACGAGTCCAAACCGGGGCACCCACAAGTAGTTGTCTAGGTGTCCTGGGGTGTGTGAAAGAAGAAGGCAGTCTTGTCCGGATGCAACCAGTCAAGCTTGGTAGTCAGTTTGCGCCCCCAACGAAGTTCAGCTGGGCTCCTCCCCGTAGAAGTAGATGGTGTGGTGCGATAAGAAAGGAGGAAGTCAGCCAACCTGTGATGCCAGTCTCCGTAGGTAATTTTCTTCAAGGCGTCCTTGGTGATGCAAACCATGCGTTCGACCATACCGTTGGTGGATGGGTGGAAAGGTGCAGAGGTGGCATGACGAATCATGTTAGCCTGTAAGAAAGCTTGGAATTCGGAAGAAGTGAATTGAAGGCCGTTGTCAGACATGAGGACGTCTGGAAACCCATGTGCAGCAAAAATCCCCCTCAGTACTTGAATAGTCTTTGCAGCGGTGGTGGAAGAGACAAGTACAACCTCAAGCCATTTTGAATGGCTGTCAACTAGGACCAAGAAGAATTGACCCTGAAAGGGCCCAGCGTAGTCAATGTGCACCCTAGACCATGGAGACTGTATCTCCTCCCATCTATGTACAGGAGCTTGGGGCATTTCGGGGCGCGAGCGTTGGCAAAGGTGGCATGCGTGCACCTTAGCTTCAATGTCTCTATCTAACCCAGGCCACCAAAAATGGCTGCGCGCAAGCGCCTTCATGCGTACAATGCCAGGATGACCCTCGTGGAGGGAACCTAAGACCCTAGTCCTCATTGAGGTAGGGATGACAACTCTGCTTCCCCAAAGCAGACAACCCTGGAAGGTGGACAACTCATTTCTTTTAGACCAGAAACTCTGAAACTCAGTGCCAGGACAGCTCTCTGGCCATCCAGATAAAACCCAAGAAAGGACACGTGAAAGTGTGTGGTCTGTGCCTGATTCAGCGGCTACATCCCTGGCATTTAAAGGAGACTCGGGCAAGGCCTGAATGGAGAGGAGATTGATAGCTGGTTCAGGGTCAGCTTCTATTACCGGCAGGGGTAACCTACTGAGGCCATCAGCATGGCCCATTTCCTTCCCTGGTTTGTGAATTAGGGAGAAATCATAGGCAGAAAGAAAGATAGACCATCTTAGCATTCTGGGGGAGATGATTTGGGGAGTTTGCTTACGTGTGGTAAACAGTCCCAATAAAGGCTTATGGTCAGTGAAGACTGTAAAATGCCTGCCATATAAAAAATCATGGAATTTTTTAATTCCAGCAACAACAGCTAAAGCCTCCCTGTCTATTTGAGCATAATTACGCTCGGCAGAAGACAAGGTTCTGGAGTAATATGCAACAGGAACCTGAGTTCCATCTGACCTGAGGTGGCTTAGTACAGCTCCTACCCCATAAGGAGAAGCATCACAAGCAATGCACACAGGAAGGGATTCATTGAAATGTGCAAGTACACTGTTAGAAGTGAGTAAGGCCTTGACCTCATTGAAACTTGCTTCATGTTTTTGTGACCACTGCCACACTGCCTGTTTGTCCAATAGCCTGTGAAGAGGCTCAGCTATACTAGCCTTATGTGGAAGAAGGAATTGTAAAAATTCAGAAGGCCTAGAAAAGCCTGTAGTTCGGCCTTAGACTTTGGCTTAGGAGCATGCATAATAGCTTTCAGTTTGGATTCAGCAGGGTGAATCCCAGTAGCATCAATTTTGAATCCCAGAAAATCAGTAGAAGGCACCCCAATTTTACATTTGTCCTTCTTAAGCTTGAGGCCCATTTTCCTGAACCTTAACAGGACAGCCCTTAATCTTTCAGCTAGATTGTGTGCAGAGTCTCCTGCAATTAAGACATCATCAAAATAGGGGCAAACCCCTGGTATACCCCGTAGTGTGTTTTCCATTATGCTTTGGAAAATTCCAGGAGCAACATTTACTCCAAATTGTAACCTCTTTACCTTGAATGCTCCTCTATGGGTCACAATGGTCTGAGCTACAGCAGCGTCATCATCAACAGGCAGCTGTTGATACACCTGAGCTAGGTCAAGCTTTGCAAAAACACGCCCCCCCTTGAGGGAGGCCAGAATATGACTGACCACAGGAACAGGATAGGCATGTTGCTGCAATGCCTTATTCAGAGTGCATTTGTAATCAGCACAGATGTGAATGTCCCCATTTGCCTTGAGAGGCGTGACAATGGGGGTTTCCCAGGGACTGGAGTCAACAGGTTCTAGAACTCCTTGCTGAATCAGTTTGTCCAACTCAGTGTCAATTTTACCTTTTAAAGCAAAAGGGACCCTTCTTGCTTTAATTCTAATGGGAGTGACAGTGGGGTCTAACTTTAATGACACAGGGGGTCCTTTGTATGTGCCCAGCTGGGGGCTGAAAACATCTGCAAATTCTTTGCAGACTTCTTGTAGGTCAAGTGTTTGCAGACTATTGAGCCCTGTGACGTGTATTCCCAAGGCCTCAAACCAATCGAGTCCTATGAGACTCGTTCGTTCACCCCCTACTACTATTAGATCTAGTGGACCTTCAAAATCCTTATACTGTACG